GAAAGTATCTGCGATTCCTGTTCCAGGGTCAACATTTCCAGTGGAAAGTCCTGCCGTTTGGAATATCTTCGGCCCCATGGTTGTTTATACGAGTAACCAAGCCCATAGTCGCCTTTCTACATCATCAATGTCTACGCAGTGCTTATTACCTGGACGACAGTATTCAAGCTCATCAGGAAGCCAGTCAGCTCAAGCTACAACTGGACTTCACCATCAGACTACTAACGCAACCTGGTTTGCTAGTAAATCTACGGAAATCGGAATTGGAACCCACACAGGATCTACAATTCCTAGGGATAAGGTTCGTCACAACAGAAAATCGCATCATAGTCCAAGAAGATCTTTGGATCAAGATACAAGCCATGATCCTGCAAGCAGTCATCTCTCCGTTGAATCTCCGAACATGGCAGCGCCTTCTGGTTCTACTCACCTCAGCGCAGGACTTAACTCGCAGAGGAAGATTACAACTACGTCCGTTGCAGCGATTTCTGAATTCTCACCTCAGCAGTACAGGGTTGATAACTCTACCAGAGAGTCTACAACCATTCCTGTTACGGTGGACTCCCAAGTCAAATGTTTGCTGAGGAACTTATTTAGAAGAGCCGGTTTGCGACACATATCTGTATGTGGATGCATCTCTGCAAGGATGGGGAGCACACCTCAAGAGCAAGGTAGCTGAAGGAAAGTGGTCGGAAAGGGAACGAAATCTGCACATCAATCACCTAGAGATGAAAGCAGTCATCAACACCTTACAACATTGGTCGAAGTCTCTGATCAACGAAGTATTGACAGTGCACACAGACAACTCCACAGTGGCATTTTACATCAACAGACAAGGCTCAACAAGATCAGCAAGTCTGTTACATCTCATATTTCATCTGTTCGACATTGTGGACAAGCTGAACATCTGGATAAAGGCGTGTCACATTCCCCGAGCAAAGAACATCCTAGCAGTTGCTCTGTCTCGACCACAGCAACCATCCCCAAAAGAATGGATGCTTCATCCAGAGGCGTTTCGTCTCATCATAAGGACGCTAGGATCTCTACTTATCGATCTATTCGCCACAAGGTTCAACAGACAGATACAGACGTTCGTCTCACCGGTACTAGATCCACTAGCATGGACAACAGACGCATTGAACATGTCGTGGGAAGGACTGAATGCATATGCGTTTCCACCGCCAGTTCTAATCCCGCAAGTACTCGAGAAAATCAGGCAGACTACAGTCCTCCAACTGATTTTGGTCGCGCCCTTTTGGCCAGCGAGAGTGCGGTTTCCAGATCTCATTCAAGAACTAGGAAAGCCAACCCTGAATCTACCAGAATGGCCAAACCTACTGGTTCATCCGCACACCAAGCAAATTCACGGGAATCCGGCAGTGTTCCAGCTTCACGCATGGACAGTATCAAAACTAGCTTGAGGAAGAGAGGTTATTCCTCCAGAGCAGCGAAAGTGGTCACTCTAGCTCTTTGCAGATCTACTTGCAACCTGTATGATGATAAATGGCAGAGGTTTCAACAATATGCTCGGCACAAGGGTTTCACAGCAATGAAAGCATCTCATCCTCAAGTGGCGGATTACTTATGTCATCTACAACAGACTAAGAGATTGAAAGGTTCGGCCTTATCTACGTACTTGGCGGCGATTAGCACAGTACTGACCATGAAGACAGGCAGCAATTGATGAAAGTACCAGAACTACTGGCCTTACTACGTTCTTTTAAGCTGGAGGATCAGCAAAAGAAATTCAAGGCACCTGCGTGGGATCTCAATGTAGTACTACAACATCTCACCAGTGATATCTACGAGCTGTTAGAGCAAACGTCACTCGAACTCCTTACGCAGAAAACACTGTTTCTACTCGCCTTAGCCACGGCAGCCCAAGTATCAGAGATACATGTGCTGGATTTTGGACGAACTTGGTTCGACACAGGACATCGTGCGGTAGCACATTTAGGACTTTGATGGGATTTTGTGGCAAAGAATCAGCTACCTGGTCAACCAGATAGACAGTTTCATGTACCAGCATTATCAACAATCCTCGGGCAGGAGGGTGTACAGGATATATCTCTATGTCCGGTTAGAGCATTGAAAATTTACCTTAGCAGACAAGAACAAGGAGACAGAAGTTCAAGCGCCTGTTTATACCGTTGTCTACAGAGACATCCACAGAAGTCTCCCGAACAACAATATCAGTATGGATGAGAGCCGTTATACTTAGGGCTTACAAAGCAGCAGGACTGCCACCTCCGAGTGCATCCAACCCACACGAAGTCAGAGCTTTGGCGTCCACTCTCGCTCTGCATTGGAATTGCTCGATAGCATCAATAATGGAGGGCTGCTTTTGGAAAACTGATACGGTGTTTGCCAACCACTACCTGAGAGACATTGCCACCGAAGACGTCTCCGGCATTCACCAGTTTGGGCCACTTGTTGTTGCACAACAACTAACGGTTCCACAGAGGCGTTGAATTGAAAATCTCACCCTCTTATCACGTGACTTACCGATAACCTTGGCTCTGGAGAGTCTTGGTTGAGAGTCCATGTTTACGTCTAGAACAGACTAACATGAGTGATTTAGACCCTGTGCTTGTATGGAAGTATGCGAAAAGGGTCGAAACTCTTACGATAAGAAGATACTTCTTATATGAGTTGTTATAGATATCTAGCAAGGATACACTAGTATATCTTAAATCCACATGAATCGTAGATTCACTTGTCCTAAAGAAGTCTAACAAGATGTGGTACCCCAGAGTTGGCAGATGGAAGTTGGAAGAACAGGATTGTCAAGAAGTGCCGTATGATAGTTTCCATGGGGGTAGATACAGGACGTATCTAGGACAGCCAATAAATCCGAGAAGGTGACCTGACCCACCACCAATCCGTCCGATTCTGGAAGCATAATAAACATGAGTCAGGATAAGGAAAAATATGTAATTTTCTAATTAAAATTGATATTTTCTACTTATCCTGACTCATAAGCCCTCCCAACCTCCCTACTGATGGCACTTCGGATTTCACGGTAAATCCATGTGTCGGGCATATTACGGAGAGAGTGACAAGCATGGTTAGTCATGTGACTGTTTTGGCGGGAAACTATGCAAGGGAGGCAACTCGTGGGTGAGTGTACTTTTACTTCAGCTTTAAAGGGAACTACAAGGGATTTCAAGTGTTCCACTATCATTCACATAGAAGGAGGAGACAAGCATAATAAGCATGAGTCAAGATAAATATGTAATATCAATTTTATTCCGAAAATTACATTACTCTCCTTCCGCTTATCTATATACACACCAAAACATTTGACATAATCATAACTCGTAGACATATTCATGAAGAGTATTTTGCCATTGAGGGGGATATTGATGACTTTGTCTTCTTATTGTTGAAGCATCAAGTATCAGTGATGTTTTTTAGACAAAGTATGCTTGAAGGGCAAGTGGGGAATTATTTGGTTTAAGATTGACAGTTTATGGGGTTGATTTTTTCTAAATTGGTCCTATTAGTGGTGAAATACAATCACCTATATACAACTCAATAACATGAGTAATACGGTTTTAGAAGGAACTCGGTATTGTTTACTTCCTATTTGTATACATTTGTCTGCAGGTTTGAGTCTGAATATGAGCCTCTGAGTAAATCTAGATATTTGCAGGATTTAAGTATTTCTCAGTCTGATTGGTCACTTGGATGTTGAGAACACTGCGATATGATGTCTTATAGCTAAAACACATGGAATTATCATGAAACGGCCCTCCTATTATCAGAAATTTGCGGGCCGCTGCAAATGATATTGGACCACTCAACCTTAACAACGGGCCACTATCAGTTCTGTTGTCAAGTGACATCATAGTGGGTGCGTCGGGTTATTCGACATTGGCTTTGGACTGGCAGATATTCTGGGTCAAACAAGTCGAAGCAACCCTAATTCCCACTTTACATAGCGGTAATATTGGCTTTCTTGCTGGTGCTAACCTTAACAATTGCACTATTAAGGCTGTTGTTGGACCAAAACCGAACACTGACATGGTTTAGCATGTTGCAGGCTATGGTCTTGTCAAAGGCCAAGGTCGAATATCGTCACTTTCTGTTGTGACGTCACTTGAATTGTTCGATGACGTAATTGCATTCGGGCAGTCAACCCCGTCAGAAGTTGGTTTTGAGTAAACTTACAGTCAAATTCCTTCATTGTTTCCTTTTTTCTTTTCAACACAAATTCCATGCATTTTAGCAATAATAACGGAAATGCTATTTTTGAGGGTATTATCGTTTGCAGAAGCCCTCGGTCTTTTTCAACTGCACTCCTTCGTTGGGCAGTTAATGGAAGACCGCGGGCTTCTGCAAATGATAATGCCCTCAAAAATAGCATTACCCTTATAATACCATTCATGATGCTTCACAATGTTTGAGTCTTTTTCACCTGTCAGCTGGAGTTACATCCCTTTCTTAATGTCCATCTCAGTTCTATGCAGGATTTATACTTTGGAGAGTGTTTTCTTTTTCAGACATAATCTGAAACATACTGAAATCATATTGCAAGATTGTGAGTTATATTCCTAAATAGCTGCATTGATAGTCATTTTGTAAATGATGTCCATCTTAGAGACATAAACTGGCTGATTACTTTTTTCCTATATCTGCATGACCATGGTAGATATTCAAGTATGGACCAGACATCCAGTGGCTGACTGTATCTATCAACACAATTAGGATACAACGACATGAAGTCTACCAGGGTGCTGTTGTACATTACAATGTTAGCGCTATGACATCTGTAAGTCTATGTTAAGGTCATAGTTACAATCACCTTAGCTCGAAGATCGCTTTGTACAATGGCACCCAGGTCATGGAGGCTGACTGCCCAGTACCTTCAGGTACCTCTTCCGACCAACATAAGCTGCTGGGGACCTATCTGTTTTGCGGAGACCCCACAGACCTTTGCCAATGCCATTGATGTACAGGAGTTTGGCAATTACAGTAAGGTTGTATTTTCCTTGTAGACAATGCGCCATCTGCTTCCCCATGCCTTCAAGCATCTGACGACGTACATGGACTTCCTACGTCATAGATACATGCGGGCCCAAACGGTACCATGCAATCGGTCCACAGAAGGACCAACATGGGTTTCAAGAGAACTGTGAAGGTGTGAAGGATCCTTACTTAATAGCCAGGAACGACTCTGTGTGGAGAGCTGCAGGTGTGTGATGATTACAAACTAAATATGTGATATGGACCGTAATATTAGTTACACAGTGTTTTGAAAGGGTTTTACAGTCTTACAGTACACCCTTTCAAAACACTGTGTGACGAATTTATTATCCTTAAGATCTTTTATATTTAGTTTAGGGACCGTTCATAATTTATGGCTAGGGGGGTGATGATGATTTTAAGGGGGGTCACCCATTTTGTTCTGGGGAGGTAGGGGTCAGCAATTTTGTACACAAGCTTCTTGAGGGGGCAGCAATTTTGTACATAAAAATATTTTAAAAATATGCTTCAAAAATATGGAATGGGGAGGGGAGGTCATTGACTTTGTACACGACATGCACGGGGGTCACTTACTTAGTACATAAATTTTAGAGGGGGGTCATTCTCATTGTACATGCTTCTCCATAAAAATCATCATCACCCCCCTAGCCATAAATTATGAACGGTCCCTTATCTTTAAACAACAACATTCAGTCATCACCAGAATGAGACGCAAAATGTTTCGCCATGATTTATCCTGAACGGTCATGAAGGGAGATAACTCGGCATGGCTTAGTTTCATTTTTATAACTACTTGCCTCTTTCCGTGACCTACTGCCAGAATGACACGAGTAGTTACGGATGGGCTTAGTTTATGATTAAAAATATCGAATTTGAGGTTTTGTTAAACGACAAGTGAAATACAGAAACATTTTATTTTTTGGATATATTTATTGACACAAACAAATAAAAAATTATGACAACAATTTTATTACTCTATTTATACTCATAATTGTATACGCCAACACTAAAATTTCTAAGCGATCAGCCGCTTGGCAGCCACATTCCAATCTAAGGTCATGGTCAAGGTCATTTGTACAACCCGTGTAGTGTGTCACATGACAGGTTGTATGAACCCTGGCAAATCTGCCTACATGGTAAATCTGCCTACATGGTTTGGTATCCGCCATGTTAGTGGGCAGACAAAATAGTGCATTACCGTAAAACATGTATGATTAATCAGAACCTGTTTAGCGTGATTATATACCTCAAATTTATCAATCACAATCCAATGGGTAATAGAATACCTCATATCTTGTGATAACCAATCAGAATGATTAATATTACCAATCAGTGAATGATCATTAATATTACCAATATCAGTTGACATGGATAAAGTCTCTGTTCTGGAAAATTAGTCTTAGCTTTGATATCTAGTTGAAAGTGGATAAAGTCTCTGTTCTAGTGATGAGTTTGACTTACTTGCTTCTATTTCTATTGAGGACATGATATGTGTAAACACTGTGAAAAAATGACCAGTCAAGTCATAAGCTCACGGGTAATTCCAAAGATTTAGACTAGTGGTTGGAATTTTGCTTTGTTTTTTGGTTGAATGCATCACTCTGGTATTTTCAAGCTATGTGATGGCCATCTGTGAATATTCAAGTTTGGACAAGACAATCCAATCATTGACATTATAAAAATCAATCTATGTGATTGGAATATCATGACCTGTATCAAGCAAGTCACCTCTTGCGACAAGCATGGGTTGCTGAAGACAGATTCTGACCTTGATATTCATTGGATTTAAAATGATGACTTTGACAATAATGATAATGAGCACAGAACTAAAACTGTTTCTGGTCTTTGTCCTTTGCAGATCACCGGCGTCGAAGTGATGGAGACTCCAGTTCGTCTCACCCAGCCTTTCCTCGTGCCAAGGAACGTAAGAGTCTCCCCAGCTCGGTCAACTCACTGTCCTCCGACACACCCTCCATCCGTGGACACTGTATTCCACGAGGACCATCAGAAGTCCGGAGGCCTACCACGATGACAGACAGTCAAACTGTTCCAGACAAATCAAATCTACAGGAAGCTAAACATGGACACAGCAATCACCGAGGACCAACTGAAGTACGGAGGCCTAAGACGTTGATACAGGATCAAATGAATGGCCACGATCTACTTGAAGCCACATCTGAACACAGTGCAGCGCCAAGTCTGTCAGACGTCAAGATACCTACAACCCTGCAACATGGCCACTCCAATAGATATGATATATCCCAACATTCGCAAATCAGGAGACCTCAAGCAGGCTCTCAATATGAAACTGATGAAACTGTATATTATGGGCGTGAAACACAGAGACATGGACGACCAGATCCAACCAGACCAGAGAGCAAGGGTGTGAAGGAGGGCTCAGAGTTTCAGGCCAGTATCAAGACTAAGGTAGACACTGTATCTGATGATAGAATAGCATTTATACCCGCTGGGTGCTTACAGAATTATCTGAAGAAGAAGAGGACACATCGACAGCACTGTTCAGACTCTGACATGGAGGAACCGATCCATATTGGAAGTTACTCCTGCCCTGAAGATACAGATGGTTATGAATCTTTTAGTTGTATTCCATCCAGAGAGTCTTTGGGGAGACATCATGTCGCTGAACATGTAGGTTCTGTCAGACAGTACATAGAAGCTGGGCCTGAGAAGACTGGATCCCAGACAGATTCATCTGGATCTGACAAGGGTAAGATGGTCGGTTATGTTGGGGTTAAGAGTGACATTCCCAATCTTTGTTATAATATAGGAGGACAGCTTGAAGAACCTTCGAGTGGAAGTGACAGTAGCCTCTCTGAAGCACTACCTCAAAACCAAAGCCAAATCAAACAATACAGTCATACTACTGATAGCGATCAATCCCTTCAATCTATAAGCAAAATTCAAATCAACACAGCTCTACCTCCAGGTATTGGCCGAGGACTTCGACGGCTTTCCTCGCCAGAAAGTTCACAGTCTAGTGTTTCCTCCGAGCCGTCCACACTGAAGTCACTTCTATCAGCACTAAGTCCACCTCCTCCTCAAGAATACCTCAAAAGTTTCAATGCTCCTGAAGCAAGATCCTCTTCTACCTCTACTCCCGAGAATGCCAGTAGAACCACCCTGACATCAATGATGCTGAATGATCTCACCCGAACGTCACCATATAGCAGACAAGCACAGCTACAAGAAACTTCTGGAACCACAGAGACCCACTTCCTCGGTTCCTCTTCTGCCAATAACACATCCTCATCACCACACATCTCTGATCGAGAGTCTAACTGCAGTGAAAAAGCGTCACCTCCCATTTCATTTGACCGCTTAGTGAAACGGTTTGATTCAAAACGGTTTTAAATTTGTTTTACTGATTTTAAAAAAATTGTTTAACATGGTATACTGTTTTCAGGTTTGAAATTTAGATTGCAAATGTTGAATTTTAAGTATTTGCCACCTTTGAGCATAATTTACTTTTAGAAACTTGGTATAACCATGGTAACAGATCCTCTTGAGGATGTTTTTTTTATCAATTTGTTGAGCAGTTTAAAGTATAATGCTATATGAATGACTTATAAAGTATACCACCGTTGTTAAGGGTTATCCTACAGTACTTACACATGCAATGGGAAGAGTGACACAACATCAATCTAAGTGCCTGGTATTGCTTTGTAACAGTACCGCATATGTCCTATAGCTATTGGCTGCCATTATATAGTTACCACGGTAACTTGCATTTAATGTCCGACTTGTTTATTGGTGAAGTGTCTTGTTCATGAAAGAATTTGCAGCTATGTTATTTTTGTAAAGAATGACCCTATTTTTATAGAACAACAAAATGACGCTGTATCACTTTGCATTTTATACTTACTCAATATTTGTATCATTCCCAATATTTGTAACATTGTCCAATATTTGTACCATATTTGTATTTTGATTGCTTAGCGAATGTAGTCATGAAAATCATGAACAGTGGGATAGTGTTGGTCCTTTAATGTACTACTACTACTACTACTACTACGGCTACTACTGCTACTACTACTACTACTACTACTACTGCTGCTACTACTACTACTGCTGCTGCTACTACTACTACTACTACTACTACTACTCTGCATGTGTGTTAGTCTGACAGCTGTCAAGATGGCTGTAGATCTAGTATACAAATGTGATACTTCCCTATTTTCATGGATGTATAGTAGCTTAGATAGGAAAGAAGAAAGAACATATTCCCTAATGGCTTATTATGTTACGGATATATCGATTGATTGTCGTATTCTTTTCAGCATATCTATGAATTAATTCCAAAATGCAGCTTCTTCACTCGACTGCATCAAGTTTTAAGAAGCCATCCTTTGATGTATTTTTCGCTATATAGCCATATGGCTGCCATCTCTGATCAAACAATCTGGTGGCACATTGACAGCACTTGAAGATCCTTAGCAGGCAGTGTAAGATAGCAGTATATAAGCCACTAGCCAGTAGTATTAGAAGGACTTTGTTATACAATGGAATGCCAAAGTGCACATTTGCCAAAGTAACTTCAGGACTTGTCACACTAGGGAAGTGTTGTCATGCTTCTGGGTTATTGTCATTTAGATCAATGTAGGATGTTTCTTCATCAGTGGCATTCAGATCTTGTATTCATTCATTTGTAGGATAGTTTTATTTGTTTGTTGTATAACACCACACTCAGCAATAATCCAGCTGTATGATGTCAGTCTGTAAATAATCGAATCTGGACCAGACAGTCCAGTGATCAAGAGCATGAGCATCGATCTACACAACTGGGTATAATTTGTAGGAGGAATTGCATAAAGAGGCAAGTAAAATGTGCGGACATGGCATCTCTCTTTGGTTCAAGTTATTTTCACCTTAGCCACTGAGGTGATAAGAATGTTTTTGTATGATATCAAAATCATGGTGCCTTATTTGTTCTTTTGTGCCAACATTCTTGTATTGCTATGACAACAGCAGGGATACTGCTCTATGTGTGCAGACTTTGTATCCCAAAGGCAATGTGTTCACATTTCCTTACATCTTGAAATTGTCCATCGTCTCAAACCTCAACTTTGTCATTAATCTCAAATACTTATTTCCATCTGGGTCTTAACATGCTCACGAATTTAATTGAGGGTGGTGGGGTTGGGTGGGGTGGGGTGGTGGGTGACATGGGGTTTAACGTCGTACTTAACGCTCATATGATGACGCGCATGCATGTGTATGTGTATGTGTGACTGCTTGTACTAGCCCAGACTTAGCTGGTTTTAAAGTGGTAGCTGACTGAGATACCATGCCGCAGTTAAGCATGAATATCTCATTCAGACACATTATACTGACACCGAGCCGACCAGTCCTTGTTGTACCCATAAATGCCGAACGCCAGGCAGGGACCAACAAGTACCATATTTTAATGTCTTTTGGTATGACGCGTCCGGGGAGCGAACCCAGCGACCTTCCGTTCTCTCGGGGCGGACATTCTAACCACTACACCACAGAGACGGTGCATGAATTTAATGAGATATTGCAAGTACATCAATACTTATTTAGGGTTTTATGATAAATGGCTTAGTAAATGCGACATATGTTATATTTCGATATTTCAGATTGCATGTTCTCAGTAAATACCGCTTTCTAAAAGGCATTGTGTCGTCACAGTTTTCGGCCATGGGAGTTGTGTCAATTTACAGAAGGGTACACAAAGTATGTGATCTAGACATTCAGTTGTCAGTGTTAGTGGAAGCTTTGGTTGGTTAGATGACTGTCTTAATGTGCTGGTCGTAAGGTGACAAGCTCTGGAGAAAGTGTAATCCCCAGTATACCCAAAGAATTTGCTGTCATTTTGTTGGGGTATCTGACTGATTATTGGTCACATGCTGTTTGTCGGCATTGTGTGGGAAATGACAATGGACTTGTATTAGGACAGATTCCAACAATTTGATGTGTTTCCTTTTAAAGTGATGATATTTAGCAATCTTGTAAAGAATATCTTTTAGGAGGGGTTTTCACACCATTGCAGAAAAGTCAACTCTGTCTAGAAATAATTCAGTAAGCATTTCAGGTGGTATAGATACAATGTATATAGTAGGAAACCATATCCAGCTGCCAGATACGTCTTGACTCCCAGTCTAAATATAATAACTAGTACATTACTGTCCTCTACTGAATCTTAACAGAAACAATGTAATACAATAATGACACTGTTTTCTTGTGAATTACACTGTCATATATATAACAGGCAGTGAAATGCCTTATAGAAATACTGACATTTAAGGCTTTTTACAAAATGTACTTGATAATTCTCAGACACAGACTCCATGCATGCACATTTCATGTTAAGCCAGAAGCTTTATACACCTTGATCTATTAACAGTGTATATATTTCCCATTCAGTTAACGATAACATAGTCTTTGACTGGCAGTCAGATGATAACCTACTCAGTTTGAAGGCATCAATGGCAGCTCCAAAAGTGAAAAGCTAGACTTAATGAATTTGCATACATCAGGGGTAGATACCAATGGTCCTTCCCAACTGGTCTGCTGCCCATTTCAGACTACTTTCCCGAGATTGCCTCCTAATGTTGGTCTAATGGACTAAATGCCATGTCTATCCCTCCACTATGTTATTGTGTATTACAGAATGTAAGAAAACCTGATTCCTGTTAATGAAAAATATGAAGTATTTTATACAGTGTTGTAAGAATAACCTTTTAACCATGAGTATTAGTTTTACATGACGACATGTCAGTTGTTACCCGATTCCAAGTCAGAGGACAGTGATTTTAGATGTCATTTATACAACAGGGTTACTGGTAATATTAGAAAGTGATCATTGTCATTCATGTTATGCTATTTTCTTACAATACAGACAATTTGATCTTTAGTCCGTACTTGTCCATGAAGATGTGATCAGTGTAACACGTCTGGCACTCTTCAAACAACACAAGTCATAGTGGCATCATAGGCGGATCAGAGGGGTGCAGCGGTGCCCCCCCCTTTTGTTCTGGAAGTTTGTTAAATGACCATTGAAACTCAGGTAAAAATTGAGTATGCACCCCTCCTTTTCTCAATAGCGTGCACACACACACACACACACACACACACTTTCTCAAAAAGCTGTATCTGCCCTTGGGCATACAAAGAATGGGTGTTTTTGTTCTCGCAGTACAGCTATGTGATGTAGGGTAAGAAGTCTGACATAGACTACAGGGGAAAGTGGCGAAGTCAGGGTGATAACTTGGGCAGCAGATGAGCTGGATTGGCTGCTCAGTGTTTGTCCCTCCTTGTCTCTGGCTTTCTGCTGGTCTGTCCGTGCTCTTCCTGCTGTTTGTCTGCTCTCCTGCTTGAATGTCCTGACTGCTTTTAAAGGCAGATGAACAACTAACAATGTGCATAGGTTGGCAATTCTCATGGACATAATCTGCTTGAATGGTTGGATGTTGTTTGATCTGAATGTCATTTGATATGTATCAAGATGGACATAAGGACTGAAACACGTCATGTCGGATGCTTGAAACCATGATTTTGTATTTCTTTTTTGTGTGTCTGGGAATATATAATTGTTAATGTATTTCAGGATTATTGTACAAAGGTCACACTAACTAGACTGATTGATAATGTGATAAGTAATGGAAGAACTTCCTGTCAGATTTTCCACCCAAAGGGGGTAACTCTGAACATGTAACCAACTCACATACCACTAAAAACTTTCTTTATTGAACTCTTGTGTGCTCCTGTCCCCGGGAGAAAATAGGGCTAAAAATACATACTAGAGTGAATGTTTATGCAATAATTACTTCATTTTGTATTCCTTTTAGTGTATCTGGGGGATCTATAATTGCTAATATATTTCAGGATTAATGTACAAAGATAACAATAATTATTATGATTGATAATGACTATGCCAAAGATGATGTGCAAACAAAGGCTCTCATTATTTTGTAAAGTATTTTCATTACGTTGATTTAGTTCGTGTTTTGTTTATTGTATGTAAAGACTGCCAAGTGGAGAATATGCAACGTGGCTTACTTACACTGCCTTATGACGTCATTTATGTTGTGCAATAATGTGCAGTATGTTATCAGTATGATATGATATCTGGTACTTAAACTTCACATGATGATGTATAAAGATTATTGTTAATACTCTGAATGTGCATGCTTACTAATTAAAGTCATAGTATTGTTTGTCCATGGCTGAGTTGGGATGAGATTGTCATTAATTAATAATTAATGAGGACACTTATATGGTGCTTAACTCCACACAGGGCATACTCTAAGTGCATTCAATAATGGATGAAAATTGTCAGTGATTATTAAACAGATGGGTCTTTAGGGCAGATTTGAGGTGAGGTGAGGTGAAATTGGGTTTTACTTGAGAATATTTCAGCTCATCTGACGACGTGCATGCATGTGTATGTGTATGTGCGGCTGCTTGTACTAGCCCAGACTTAAGCTGGTTTTATAGTGCTAGCCCACTGAGATACCATGCCGCAGTGAAGCATGAATACCCCACTCAGACACATTATACTCACTCCGAGCCGACCAGTCTTTGTTGTACCCATTAATGCTGAGCGCCAGGTAGGGACCAACAAGTACCATATTTTAACGTCTTTTGGTATGACGCGGTCGGGGATCGAACCCGCGACCTTCCGCTCTCCGGGTGGACGCTCTAACCACTACACCACGGAGGCGGTCGGGCAGATTTGAAGGTTGTCAAGGAGGGAACACATCTGGGGTGATGGGGAAGAGAGTTCCATAGAACAGCAGCAGAGTGCTTGAAGGGTCTGGAACCAAATGTCTTCAACGTTTAGGGAGGTACAGCAAGCAGGAATTTATTGCACCCAGTAGAGTCACCATGGTAATTGATGCTTATTGGGCACGCTTGAAACAGAACAAGTAAATCTTGTTAATGAGGGTTGTACAGTGATGCCAGCATTGTGCTGATTCAGATATGACATGAATATGGTTCCTTAGTCGTGTCTTTGGTTTCCAACTCTGGTGCATAGATGAGGTGAAGAATCCTACTGATGTCGACATTCTTGAAGGAAATGAGAACATCTATGTGTCTGGAACAGAGGTTGAACCTTTGGGCGTCCTGTGCTTTCATTGATTTTAATTATATAGTCAATAATTTAGATTTGTCATCAAGATCAGATAGGAATAGAGTTGAACCTATTGGGATACCTGCAACTTGTCTAAATATGCTGTCCCCAAATTTGACACAGAAAATGTGAATCAAGACATAGCAATTTACACCCATTATGAATTGTAGTTAAAGTTCTGTAGGTAATAACTAGATGTAGATGTATACAATTCTTGTGCATTCAGTGTATTGTAGACAAAAGTCAGCTCATAGCTGTTGTTTCCTTGTAGTCTGCTCTTTAAAAGACCATTAAAGGGACAATTTACAACTAAGATGCCACAGTGGCAGTATGTTCTATTGGAAACAGGGTTATCAGGGTAAAATAGCCAGCCATATCAGTGTTACTCAGAGTCTTTACAGACTGTGTGATAGCTACAGGCAAATTAGTAGTAACATCAGGCCATCTTAAGGTCACATGCAACGTAAAACAAAACTTTGCAGATTCTGATACCTTTCGGTATGAACATACCGAAACAAATCATCAAAAATGCAAATTCAACTTATAAAGTTGAAAAATAACGCGATGAAAAAACCCGCGCGAAATCAGAGTTCAAATGATTCACTAAATTTCCCCCTAGCGTTTTGGGGAATTCAAGTGGTTTCAACCAGCTGGACTGCGCTGCGCTGGGCTGCGCTGCGCTGGGCTGCGCTCATAGCGGTACCCTCATAGCACATGCGCAGTGAAATAGGTTCGCGCAGCTTGGAAGCGGGTTGTCCGGTGAATACTCGGTGAAGGCTTTGGTGTGAGCTATTTTTCTAATGTTTTGTTGGTATTTCACAGGCGCGAGCTTTTTTATATGTTATGACAGTAGATTACCGATTTAACTGTTTATATAATTTCATTTGTCTATTTCACCACACGTTCTTCTTACCGAGTCACTTTCTCAGTTCGATACTTAAAAGCAATGTCATTCTTAGCGTTGACAGAATTTCTAACTGTGATATAGATATGTCGTTGTCACAGACAAAACTCAATGTCTGTTTCATTGACACCTATGTGTCTGCCTGCCTGTCTGCTAATGACAATATTCAATACACAACTTCGATCACTGACCACATGCCATTTGAACTTAACACCTATCAGGCTATACACCATAAACAAAACGCATTGATTTATGGCCCGAGTTCGGTCTCTGTCACATTATGTAATTACACAGACAGGCAGGTGTGATACTTGTACACATGACATGTTATGATGTCTGTTGATTGCAAAATGTTATACACAAAAAAATGAGCATGTATTTACAAAAACACAACATCTCTATATATACACACACAATGAGCCGTGAGGGCATCTGCAAATGAACCAGCCATTCCACTTGAGTGCACATCCACCCGCTCTGACTGGGTTCGGTATCCTGGCTGCTTCGTTTCTTGGGAAGTAAACCCAAGTACAAAATATTGCACTTTTGATTTGCGATTGTACGCTTATAATTTTGTTTATATGTTTTTTCATAAGCAGCATTGTATATTATTTGTCATGAATAAGTGATAATTGTGTATTAATTATGTTTGATTTGTTGGTTGCATGTGACCTTTAAGTGAAGAACTGTTCAGAAGATCATTAGAATGATGTAATTTGTCATATGTGGCCATCCTGATATCAACTACACAAGCTGAATGGAGGAAATACACTTTTCTTGGTGATATGAAAACTTACACATCTGCAAACAGACTTCAGTAGTATTTCTTTGCAGTGTTGGAAGCATCTCTAACACATTCTTTTTATGTTCTCTTGTCAAGGCCAAGTTTGCTTCACACAGTGAGGTAAGCTATTTGAGTATGATTTGTGAGAATTGGCACACAGTGAATACCAGAGGTGTCAAAGCCTGATGGCCCGAACCTGTTATTGGGGAACATTTGCTGTATTTTCTGGACATGTTTACTGTGGTGAGCTCAAAGAAATAGGTTGTCTTTAGATGGTGCTGTTGTCTCAACAACTTGCTAAGACATGTTCCTGGTTTCTGAAGTAAGAGCTTCCTTTGTTAGAACCATCTTGGTTGGAGCCATCTTTGCTTGAGTGACAAGTGAGACCTTTTGTAGTTGTGATCTTTTCTTTTGTATGTACAAATGAACATGAATTTACAAATTAGCTGTAAACAAAATAAATAAAAACAAAGAACATTGCATGACAATGACAAGAAGGAATGATTGTTAATAATTAGTTTGTAAATACATAAATGATCAATGTCAAAACAATAGTTTTTCAGATGAAATCTGGGAACACACACAATCAAGTAAAACACTCAATAACCACTAGGGGTGACTATTAAGGGGAAACATACGATAGCGATAGTCTATTGCGACCAACTATTGCAATAGTTTTTTCTCTCCTTGATATGTCTCATTTGAAATTATTTCCCAAATTAATGTATAGTTTATATGCAATGGAAACAAGTTGAAGTAGTTTCAGTCTCTTTTAATTACTGACAAGGAACTTGAAACCTAGATCAAGTAAACAGTTAAAACATAAACTCAATGAAGCTGCAAGTCTGCACCCAAACATCTTGTATTTTGTGCTGCACATTTATCAACTGAAGTCAATTACTAAACTATCGATAGTGACACATACCATCGATGCATTGATAGTTTTTCGTTTCTACCATCGATTAATTGCTATCGGAGACTCAGCAATTGCAATCCATCGATAGTTCGATGCATCATTACAGCCCTACTAACCACTGTCATGTCCACATGTCCCTGGCTCTTGCGGTGTATGAGACCCATGTCTCTTAAGCTGTAAACATTGGGTATTCAACTAGAGGTGTTCCGATTAATTGAAATAATCGAAGATTGGTCGCAGTGACCAAACGACCAAGCAATCGATCACATTTTCTCATAATCGAACATAAACGATTTTGGAACTACTGTTTTAGTCTTTGAAATACTTGACAATGGAACATATCGTTGAAGTTGTCAGGGCCTGAAAACATGTTTAATTCATAGAAAACTCACTCCACTAACTGAAAAGCCATGACTGAATATTTCTTGAAGACTCAAGGAAGTTTATGTTCATGATATATTAGTCATCACTTTAAAGTAGCAAGTTGCATCATGTTATACATATCTACAATAACAACCTGGATAGGAAAATCTGAAAAATGACGCTAACCAATTTTTTTCGATGATTGTTCGTTGGTAATGAAGCAATCATCAATTGTGAGATTTCAACCAATTCCCAACACTATATTCAACCATGGGTAGTACCTTTACTCTTGCCACCAGTAAAACCTCCGCTATGAACATAATATACTCAACAAAAAAGTTAAGCACCACCCCAATATTCAATATTTAGGTATTACATGGATCATAATATGAATTATTAAATACTTTAATATTGAAAATTGTTTGGGTCCTTAACTCTTTTTTTGAGTATACTTCAAATCAGGGTTGTCCCCTGGTTTATGCAATTTGTAAATAGCAATGTCACTGTGACCAACTGTTTTGGCAGCCATGGACAGTGATGAGTAACAGAAGTAACGGTGGGCCATGTTGAAGTAGGGATGGAGAGGTAGTCATTTGGAATATGTATTACTGTAACTGGGAAGTGATTCAAATCAACTTGTTTGTAAGTACAACTTCAGACAACTTAAACGCTGTTGTTGAATAGGTTTTTGAAGAAATATACTACAATGCAGAGTCACAATCATAATTCATACAATATTGTATTGACATTTTACGAATTATTAAGTTAGATGTTGTATTTACCACACGTTTCGCACCGATAATCAATGGAAGCTTCAATTGTTATGATGTGTTTCAGCCACGTGACCTTGAGCTGATGAGATTAGTGTTGTAGATGGATGAATACAGATAATTAGTTGGGGTTTGCCATTACACAGATATATGTAGAATATCTTGCAATGCTTGACAGGGATTAATGTCTGGACATGTTTATGATCAAAATTCTGGTACTGTATTTCACGACTAGATTGATACCACTACCATAGTTCTGATTATACATACAGAGACAATATACAATTTGTCTCATCATGTGTCGTGATCTGCAGTATTACTGGTATATTGGGTAATCTGATGGTGTACTGGTGCCTTTTGGTAGTTTGGGAATTCTGAATTAAATATTTTTGGCGTTTCCATGGCAACAAGTTTGACTTAGACTGAAATTGGTGGTAGTGCTCTTTTCCGGAGCAGAACTCTAAAACCGTTCACTATTTCTTCACATAACTTGGCACATAGATTGGTCTGGTGGTGTACTGGTGCCTTTTGGTAGTTTGGGATTTCTGAATAAAATATCTTTGCATTTCCATGCCAACAAGTTTGACTTAGACTGAAACTGGTGGTAGTGCTCCTTTCTGGAGCAGAACTTTTAAAACCTTTCAATACTCTCCTTCCACTTTTCTATATACACAACAAAACATTTGACATAATCATAACTCGTAGACATATTCATGAAGAGTATTTGCCATTGCGGGGATATTGATGACTTTGTCTTCTTGTTTTGGGATTACTGTTATCAGAACCAAAACATATATGGTTAGGGACTTCTAATGTAGAAAATAAGATTGACATGCCCAATTAGTGTCACTCACTGTCATACACTTAAGTTTCCAATATATCGCAATAGGTATCGCAATACAGGTGTATTTACCAATACACAGCCCTAGTGATCTGTACAATTAATCATTTGTCGTGAACAGTGCATTAAAATCATCTGTCGATACCTGTAACAATGCATTGAAGTTTTTCATGTCATGGCCTGTAACAATATATTAAAATCATCATGTGTCACGATCTGTAACAGTATCACATGTCTGCCAGCTGTTGATTGTCAACATTTGTTAACATATACTCTTTAAAAATAGTAGGGGAACCCGAACTTTCAATTTGGATAGGAAGTATAAGCGTGAACAAACTTTTCAAAGACAGACATCTTATGAACACACCACCATTTCTCTTTATCACCACCCCTAAACACAACGCATGGGATGCACGTGCACAACGAGGTTAGGTGACATGGGGTGTCATTCTTGTTTTTGACAGTTTTCAAGAAGGTTGATAAATCACTGTAGACCATTTTGACAATCGTCTTACATCACACAGTTGCTAGTGTTTGTTTCTAGCTGTTTTATTTTGTTTGAAAATGAAAATTGTACACATGCAAATTTCAGGTCATACAAAATCATCTTTCAAGAGTGATTACTGTACAAACAACTATGGTCATAAGGAAGTGCAAGTGGTGATGCACTCTCAAAACATTCATTATTATCATATCAACATTGATTGACTCTGATATATCTCCCAATTTTTGCAATCGTAAATTAAAAATGAAGTTCCCCTACTTTTTTAAGAGTATATATTGGGACTCTATTTGTCCATTCTGTCTTAGTTTTGTTGTTGAACATGAAAGTTACAAAATGTAAATAATCTTCTGTGAAGTGAATGTAAGTATGCTTTCATTTGTACATCTTCTTCTGCGTTTCTTTGTGGCTGCACAGAGAACGTGCCATGGATTTTCTCCCTTTGCTGTGACATCATTTATGACAACCAATCAGAAGTGAGAATGCATGTAATGTTACAGCAGGGCACTTGTCTATTGGCCAGTATTCAGAGTAAAAGTACCTACTGCATGATATACATTAGGGTTGCCTTCTGAGCTGTATCAAAACTAAATATCCTTAACACTAATGTAGATTCAATTGTTGAACTATTTACATAACAACTTACAAACACTAAAACTTGTCTGTACAAAGAAATTCCTTCCTAGTGATTTGGTAGGAAGAACGTGTTTTGTCAGTATAAAATGTAAACATATTAATATTGAGAGTGCTGAATAAGAAAAGTAATGATCCAATATGGCATATGCCCCAGCTAAAAAATGCTTCACCATGTTGTCATTCAACTTAGCGCTCTTAACAAGTAACTGTACCATAGTTACTTTGACCCTATGGGAGTTTCCATTGAGAATATTTTCTTGTTGAATTGCTCATGAATGCAGACTAAACAGTGATTGAATGGGCATATTGATTCATTTATGTAGTGATTGTTCTCATAATGGTCTTGAGGATACCTTGGCTTTGTTCCTATTATTCGGGGCAGTGGGGTAGCCTAGTGGTTAAGCATTGGCTTCAATGCGGAAGACCTATTGAATTACATGGGTACAATGTGTGAAGCCCATTCTGGTGTGCCCGCCATAATGTTGCTGGAATATTGCTCAAAGCGGCGTAAAACCAAACTCAGTCAGTCAGTTGTTCCTATTATTCAGGTTCTTTGAGTGTTTGCTATTATACCATTGTCTTATTATACCATTGTCTTATTATACCATTGTCTTATTATACCATTGTCTTCCGTAACAGAAAAACTATGCATATGGATCCTAATACCAGTATTACAACTTGTTCAGGGCCAGATCCACAAAGATAGCTTAATACTAAGACAATTGCAAGTCCAATACTTAAACACTTAGTTTGACATTTATATTTTATATTAACAAGTGACTGGTATTTCTATATAGGTCAATTATATCTGCATGTACCTTAAAACAAAAGATTAACGAATGGGATTGATATTGGTAAACACTTGGGTTCCACACTGTGAACAGTAAGCATGGTGAACCCTGCAATCGAGTGGATTCGTTTTGTGTGGACATCATATGGATGTCCATGAAGTGTGGGGATAGGTTCACTTGCTGATGTATGAAATGCTTGTACTGG